AAAAAAAAAAAGTGCCTCAAGTAAATACATATGCAAATTACATACTTTCAATAGCATTTATTTATTAAAGTAGTATACTTTTTATCTCATTGCTTTAAGGTTAAAGTTACATGCTATAGGACCTCTTCAGCACTGGCTGAAGCACAGTCTCTCCTCCATTCAATTACAGTCTTGTAGCAGTACATCTGTCAGTGCACAGTCTAGCTAGTGTGACACCATTCCTATGCTGGCTATGCCCTAACTGGACCCACTAGTATTATACAATACACAATAGAAACATGCGAATACAACTGGATAAAGACATAACAAAGACGCCTACAACAAGGTGTAAAAATCTTTTATAAAAACAGATAACAAGTTTTTCAATTTCATGTGTTAGTTTCACCTAATCAAAATCATTTTCATTTTGCTAACAACACTATTTCTCTTTTGATTTAAAGCTAAGCATTCTTAGTTACATGCAACTGCTCAGCTAATACCAGATGAAATAAATGAAAGGAAAAAAAAAATTAGCTTACAGTATGAGGGAAAACGGTATCTTTAAATTTTGCCGGTTAAGTTTTTAGCTCAAGTTTGTAACTGTCAGAGTGTCATGAATCCTTAATTACTCAAGTCTAAACCAACAAAATTTGGTTACCCCAACCTACAAGCTGTTTTTTTTCTCCTTTCGTATTGATGTACACTTACATTATGCTGTAACTAAATGATGGTGTACCGTGGTGTTTCTTTTGACCATACAGGTGCTGAAGAAACGAAGAAAGGTATTTTTTTTTAATACAAACATAAAAGAGTTATACTTTCCCTCAACTACTTTATACAATCTTCACAAGGGTACTTTACTCACTGTTCCAAAATCATTCTTTCATAGGCTAGCTGCTTCTTCAGAGATTCCTCTTCTTCGACTTGCTGAAGGGTTTTGGCTTGCTGAATATCAGAACGTACTAGCTGGTTATTAAGCTTGTTTTTCCCATAATGCATTTCAACTAGATGGATGAGAAAAGTATTGTAAATATGGAAAATCTGTTTCTGAAATTTTAATGTTGTTTGAAATCAGCACTGACAACTTTCCTAAATTTAATTTATCAATTTGTAAAAAATGTTAGAAAACATGGTTTAAATTCCAAATTATTTGTTGTGAATATAATCAGTCTTTTTTCAAATCATCCATAACAATTCTGACAATCAAAATAAAAAAAAAATGTAGAAGTAGAGTAGGCTATTAATTATCCAATTTATTTTTAGAGACTAAATTTCTTCCACCCTTTTACATATCTAATACTTATATGCCATCTCATATCAATTGTTTCTTATTCTTACTTTCTTCACTCTGAAGTCTGTGAGCAAGCACTCCATCTTCATGTACTAAGAACTGGCGACACACTAAAAAAAATTAACCAGGAAAAGTTACATTGTTAGTACATTCAACAGTTCTTTTAATGTTGCTAAAAAATTGATTTCTTGTTTCTTTTTTTTACAGCTACAACAATCTAATCAACAAACTATCTTTGATAACTTCATCCCTGTTTAAAAATTGCAGAAATATGTAACTAGCAACAAATGTTTCTTCAAGGGGGTATTTTTTAAGTAAAAAGTTCTAAAATTCACAGAGCTCATACATCTCCTACATTTAAGTATTTTTAACTAAATGTATAACAACTTTTTCTTTTGACTATTACTGCATGTGAAATTCAAGCACACATTTCAAATCAGAAAATAATCTAGTTTACAAGAAAAGAAGTCATTTATATTATTTATACAAAAGTTCTGTATGTGATAGTTTACATTTCTAATTGATCAAGTTATTGTTAATGACTTTGAAGAAACAAACTATATAACACAGTTCTGGCAATAAGAAGTACTAAATTTTTTTTTCCATTCCAATACAAAATTAGTCTATACAACTTTTCTAACTCTCAGTGGTTTTCTTTTCAAAGGGCAGGGAGAAGGATGAAAAACATTTCAGCATTTTAATACTGACATCTACTTTTGAGCCAGAGCAATCACATGGTGCCCGATGCCAGCTCCTGAGGGAGAGTGACAGAATGTGTGCCAGGGGGATCATAAGCAGCTAGTGTATTCTCTGACACTCCAAGAGTTTGGTTATAAAAGATTTTGGGTGTAAACTGAATAACTTATTTTTTATATGCATATTTTTAGTTTTTGAAGTGTTGGGACTCAGCTTCCATTTGAGGTGCCAGAGCACTGCTCCAGCATTACTACACCTCTGGTTATTTAAATAAATGATTGTAGTTTTTAATATTGGTGCTATCGGTAAAATTTCAAAGTTTCCTAGAACAGAAGTGGTTATTTAATGAATTATCTAATCTACAAGTACAGCAATTAAATAGATAAGAAAAAGTTAGAATAGATTAATTGCAAAAAAAAGTTTTTACATTAGGGCCCTAGCATTAGATTACTATGATTTATCTTTTCAACTTTTCTCCTGGTAGCTTATAACATTTCCAGATGCTAATTTAATAATTAGAAAGTTTAGTTAACCCAGCTGCTATATTGAACCTATCAACTGTCTTCTGTTGCTTGAAAACATGCGATAAAAAGAAAAGAAAAAGAAGATATTTATAAAACAAATATATATATCCCAGGGATCTTTACAGATCTACCAGAAGAGCTAGCTATTGACAACTAAGGTAATAAGCTTAAGATTTCAGCCCAACAAATGAAACCTATGGTTGTGTTCAAGGTTACTGGTTAGATTTCTTATCACAATTGTTTTAATTGACTTTTCAGGCTCACTTTATTGATGAACTATTAAAATTCACATTTTGCCTTTAAAAACTGGTCAGAATAAACTTTTAAACAATGTTTGTACATTACTAAGTAGTTCTTATTACACATCAAGTTTTCTTATTATTATCATCATCATCATCATCAAAGATGTATTTAATGCCAGTTAACTTTAACAATATTTGTTGACACTGTTCGAAGCCTAAATTTTACAAACATAATTATTTATTGCAGGTTAAATAGCAGATTATCTGTGGACTTCCACTTCCTGATTTTGGTAGCTTATAACTTCACAAGATGTAAAACATTTTATACATAATTTTTTTTTTTAAATAATCTGTCCAAATTTTTAAATATTTCCTTTTCCATTCAAAAAGAAATGAGATCTTTACAATATTTGAAAACAAAGGATTCCAAAAATACTCTTTTAGCATATGTAAACCGATAGAATTGTTATATAATTCCAAAAATACTCTTTTAGCATATGTAAGCCGATAGAATTGCCACATAATTCCAAAAATACTCTTTTAGCATATTTAAACCGATAGAATTGCCACATAACTCCAAAAATACTCTTTTAGCATATGTAAACCGATAGAATTGCCACATAATTCCAAAAATACTCTTTTAGCACATGTAAACCGATAGAATTGCCATATAATTCCAAAAATACTCTTTTAGCACATGTAAACCGATAGAATTGCCATATAA